TCAAGTTCCTTGGGGAGACAGTGCTGCCCTGAATCAAGAGGGTTGTTGCTAGAAGACGCAATGTCTGACAACAGGACTCTGAACCACCCAAGCAGGCGAACCCAATCATTGTTATCAGACAATTTCTGTGGCCACATCACCCCTCACGCCTAACTCTTCAAACTGCAACCCCTTGATTATTATGTGTGGTGCACAGTTGAGCGAGAGACCAATGAAACTCTTAGTAACATCTGATGGCAAGTATTATGGCAACATTCACCAACTTAAACAAGGAGACCGACTAGAATTACTGGAGGAGATTCTAAGGCGTCTGGCGTGTATGGTTGAAGCCAATGGCGATTTTATTGAATAAAATAACTCTTTCGTATTTCAAAATGTTTTTATGTAATTTTGGTAAATATATCGGTTAAAATGAGATGTTAGTGATATTTCCATTTTTGCGTAATTTAGACAACAATTTATCCATTGCACCCTGTATATCACAATGACGAGACGTAGGTGGGGGGGGGGCGCTTGTACTGCCACCGCAAGTGATGTGTCTTGGAAAGGATAGCCTGACGGAGACCAAACCTGGCCAGGCTATATATATATATATATATATATATATATATATATATATATATATATATATGTGTGTGTGTGTGTGTGTGTGTGTGTGTGTGTGTCTGTGTGTGTCTGTGTGCGTGTGTGTCTGTGCAAATCCTTCGTTTTTCAATTAAGAAAGTTTACGGCAGATGGCGCTGTGTTCCAATGTAGACCAGGTTACATCTGTCATCTTCAACGTTTAACAAGTGTAATACTGAGTTAACTGACAAGTGTTTCTTTTAACAATGGCAGGATATTCATATCGTCAACAGACAGATATGATTTTTACATACGGCCGCATGAATGGTAATGGACGCACGGCTGCACGACTGTATCAGATTGCGTTTCAGAACGAAGCCAGCCGACTCATCCGACCTTTGATGCTGTGTATCGTTGCGTTGCATAGACAGGATCCGTGACACCACAAACTATGGATTGAGGAAAACTGAGATCCTCCCATACGCCTGACCACAAAGAACACATTCTACAGGCTTCTGGGGAGATCAAGGTATCAGCATTTGTCAAGTGAACCTAGCATGTCGTATATCTGATAGTATGGCATCGAGAGCACTTCAAGAGCATCTCCTGTATCCGCATCATTTGCAACGTGAGCAACATCTTTCGCCCGATGATCACTCATAACGGGAGAACTTTTTCCGATAGTTTATTGCACACACTGTGGTTCCGTTGTTTGTCTTTTTTTACAGATGAGACAACATTTGAGAGAATTTGCACAACCAACATTTGTGAGCTGATGGGAAACCCATGGTACAATACAGGCTAGACACCAGCATCAGTTTACGATTAATGTGTGGGTTGGAGTTGTAGGTGACTGTCTGGTAGGTCCATATGTTCTCCCAGCATGTCTTACAAGAGCTGTCTACGGAGACTTTATTTTGGACACACATCCAGACCTGCTAGATGTAAACCTGTTATCAAGAAGACAAATGTGGTTCATGCATAATGGGGCTCCAGCACATTTTTACTCACATTTTTGGCGATGCACTGGATGACATCTACCATGAAAGATGGTTAGGTAGGGAAGGACCAGTTCCATGACATGCACCCTCCCCCAACGTCAATCCTTTGTATTTTTATCTGTGGGGCCACCTAAAAGAATTGGTTTATGCAACAGACATTAATAATGCAGAGACGCTCCATCAACGTGTCACGGGGGCTTGCAAAACCATTCGACAACGTGAGGAAGTATTTGAAAGAGTATTTGTGGATAAGATAAATTGGTTTAAGAATGACAATTGGAAAAATCTAAGCTTTTGCCGACGCGTTATCAAGGCAAACAGTGAAAGCGAAATATTTTTGCTGGCATAGTTCCATTAAATCCAAAATTCGCTTTCAATGGTAAAGTCAGAAGACGATACGCGTCTTTTTTCCAAATGTCATTCTTGTACCATATATATATATATATATATATATATATATATATATATATATATATAATGAAGAGACTTAATGTACACGCTTTTATATTTTTTATTCCCAGAAAAATAAACTTGATAAGAACCGGTTGTTCTTTTTTAGCTTTTTTTAAAAAATGCCATATAAGTTTTGCTTTTCCCTAGCTATTATAGATAGATAATTAATATTAGTAATAATTATACATATTCATCACCAGTAGCACGACTGAGTTTCATGCATAACGCAATAATCAGGTGCTGAATTGAGATGCTTTAGGAATTAACCAGAGTCATAGTACAGCAGAAGCTATTAACTGGTTTAATAATATAAAAAAGAACGTCTGTATGTTTATTCAACTTGACATTAGTGATTTTTACCCGCATCATCTACTACCGAAGATTTTCTTATGAATCAAATTAGCCAAATAATATTGTCAGATTAGCGACAATTTAAAAAGTAGTTTTCATTCAGCATCTGTTGTTCATGAAACTCAGTGTTATACTATCGGTGAGGAAAAAAAATCCAAATTTGTTATTAACATCTACTTTATAGCTCTGTTTTATTACATCGAGCACTATTTTATTAATACTAGCACTCGATATTTTTTTTAATCTTTATCACCACGAGCAAGCAGTACAGCCTATAAACCCTGCACGCCAGAGATTACAGGGTGTGGAGGAATTAAAAACAGAAATATTAGTAATGAGGAGGAAGAGAAAAGAACAACCAGGACGACAGTAGATAGCGATTGACATTGCATTTAAATTTTTGCAGATTAAACTTGGTTGGAAAGTATGGATCCAAGAAGGAGTTCCGCAAGCGAGAAGTGCGAGATAAGAAATTGCTAGCATAGAAGTTCCGGCTACATCTATCTAACTCAACTGTAAATTGATGAGATCACAATGACTCACTTTCTTGAGGATAGCATCAGCCATGCTGATGGAAAGCAGAAAGAGATGATAATTAATGGAGAGAAGTTTAGTATTGAAGGTCTTAAATTGACAAGCCATCTTTTGCTCCAGTTAACGGCGGTTTTGAGGTCGATTTGGACATCAGCTGCCATTTTGGCCTTGTCTGACTGATCAGTTTTACTATCAAGGCAGGAGTAAATGGTGTTTGTTCTCAGGTCCACCCTGACCCGGGGTGGTAGCACCTGTTAGGTTCCAAGCTATGGGCAAATAATGTACCCCAGAGAAAAACAAAACACTACGAAAGTATACAAATATATTTTATAGTAAAAATACCAGCAATCCATTTTTATATCAAAAAATGACCAATACATATTTATAGTAAAATGACCAACCATACATTTTTAAAACAAAATGACTAGCAATATCTTTTATCTGCAGTTGAAGGCATACAATTGCGTTCAAAATATATTCAGTTGAAGCCATAAAATTGTGTTGAAAATATTTAGATTTTGGCCTTAAATAATCCATAGACGTGTTGATATGCCGCTAAACAAATCAACCAAACCAAGTTGCAAACAGTGATTGTTAATGGGAAAATATTCATACAAAATTTGAAGGTTGCTCACGAAAGTGTTTGGAAATATATATCAAACTCTCCCCAACTGAGTGTGTGTTTTTGAGAGAGAGAGAGAGAGAGAGAGAGAGAGAGAGAAAGAGATTGAGTGATTTGTTTTGTTTTTTGGGTTTTTTTTACGGCTTATCAACCTTTTAGACATTATTTAAATCCGAAACATATTTTTGGATTGTAAGAATAATTTTTTTAATGGCTGAATAGTATATTAACAATATTTTGGAGATGATAATTATTTTCAGATAAAGTTCTACTAGATTATTTAGATTATTCGGACTATTGTCCTCATCTTTGTCGCCATATTTATTACAACGTTTCGGCCGTTGTACGCTCCGGCCTTCTTCAGGTGGTTGGAATGTCGAACTGAACCCTTTATTTCGCTCACTGGGGTAGACTGTTCTAGTTCCTCAAGGACACATGGCACAGTGGATAAAGGCGAACTTTCAGTGGATAACTTTCAGAAGGGAATTAACAGGAGATAACTGACATTCATTAAACATGGCACGTGGAACTAGAACAGTCTACCCCAGTGAGCGAAATAAAGGGTGCAGTTCGACATTCCAACCACCTGAAGAAGGCCGGAGCGTACAATAGTTCGAATAATCTAAATAATGAAAATAATACCTCATCTTAGAAATATAGACAGATACTGAAAGTTCTACTATTTAACCCATAAATGAGTAAGTGAGAGAGAAGAGGTGGATTCATGCCTTTCCAAAGCTCGACGTTGCTTAACTTCGGTGAAAACGAGGTTTCAAAGTAACACGGCCGTAAGCCGTGTGAAATTAAGAGCGAGAATCAGAAGATAATAAAAAGATACGCCTATTCACTGGTTTGTCATTTCTTTGCCTTTCCTTTTCTTCTTTTATTTTGGCTTTTTATTTTCATTTTACTCCCATCTTTTATAAGCCTTCTTGTTGACAAGATTAATCCGCTTCTTGCTTCTTGCAGGTATCACCAGCATCTCCCCAAGAGTCGACGGAACCAGCAGTCCTATTTGCTCGTCTGGCCTACTGGCACTTGTTCCAGCGGATATCCTGTGACATCATCGAGTGAAAGAGAAGAATATTTTCATGAAATGTCAAAGATCAACGCAAAGAAACCAGACAACGGAATTGACGTTAATGATTTTCCACAATAACAATAATAATAACAGCCGGTCATTCGATCCCCATGGACAACCAAAGGAACATTCAAATGCATAAATAATAAGAAGAAAATTGAAAACACTGAATAAGAGTTAGACACCTGAAGCCTGATTTGTTTTAAAAAAAAATCATACGAACGAACCAATAAAAAAAGAAAATTTACGAACATAATAAAATATATAAATAAATATTTGAAAGAAAAAAAGCTGAAATAGAGACTATTTGCAGATAAATCATAAAAAATATATATTTATAATTAATAATAATTAACTTTCGAACATATATGTAAATTTATACATGTAAAAGGCAATGGCGTATTTAGAAGCAGGTAGCACCGGAGGTGCTAAACAGGTGAGTCAAGTTCTCCGGGAAAGTGTCATACTGTGAGTTCATGGAAGGGGAACACGTCAGGGCCACCGGCTGAGATAAACGCATGGGGCCCTCATTGTAAGAATGAGGTGGGTGAATAGAGGGCCACATACATCGGAACAGGCACAAATAAGAGTCGACGGGCGGAACAGCCGTACAGGAGGTAGGATGACAAATAAAGAGGAAAGCTGAGGGTGGGGGTAGGGGTGTGAGTAACAAAAGAGGCAGAATTAACGGGCAAGGCTTAATGGTACAGAAACACATCGCAAGCCGCTATATCTTGGGTACAAGCCTCATTACTGGGCCCGGGAAGATGTTGCATCCGCTAAATAATAATAATAATAATGGATATTATAAATTTGAATCAAACAAAAGAGTTCTTATGGCTTGCCTAATAGTAGTAATAGTTATTGATTAAAAACAGGGCGAAGCATAAAATGGAAGCATTTGTGAAAAGTTAAGATTACGGGCGATAGATATGAACAGACATAGATAGATAGATAGATAGATAGATAGATAGATAGATAGATAGATCCGGAAATTCTGATATCTGTTTTATATCAAAGTAGCATACCTAAGTCAATGGCGTCCGTCTTAGTCCACTTCAAAATACTCAAATAAGATAATGACTTGAAAATTGCAAAAGACAACAGAAATAAGATGTGAGAAATACGAGTAAATCATTAATAACTGACAATGCATCGATCATTTTAATATGAATGAAAATCGAACCTTAGCCTACCTTTTTGACTCTAGTGTAAACCGGATCTATATCTACATTTTCGATTTTAAATAAATCGGTTCCGTGTTTACCTATCTGTAGTATTAGGTCGGGTTAAATTGTTTAATTTATCGACATATCAATTCTTGATGGATTATTTAATGCTTATAGACAGAAGTTTTTTAAAATGTTTACCTCAAGCAAGGCAATAAAGCCACTAAGTTGTTAGGGGGTTACTGAGTGTGACAGAATATGAAAAACAAAACATTATTAAGGGGAGAACATGAATTAAGAAGACAAAAGAAAACGATTGGTATTGCATTTAAATTTTCGAAAATCAAAAGCTGGCAGGAAATTATCCAGCATTCACTGCCATAGCGGAGGATTGATATTATACGGCAGTTAAGCACTCCTTTCTTAAGTACTAATACTATAATAATAATAATAATAATAATAATAATAATAATAATAATAAAAATTGTAATGACCCGGAGTATTGAAAGGACTTGATGTCACTTGATCTCCTGGAAAATCAATCAGACATTACTGTTGTGAAATATGAACGTCTACAATTTTTTTAATCATTTCACTCCAAGCAAGGCAATAAAGCCACTAAGACGCAGGGTATTGCAGCGTGTTAGAGATATGAGAAAAACACACTATTAAGGAGAATAGACTAACAAGAATTAAGAAGACAGAAGATGAGGACTGACGTTGCCTTTAAATTTTTGAAGATCAAATTTGACTGGCAAGCAAGAAGACACTACAGAGTTCTACCAGCGAGAAGTGCGAGAAAAGAAACTGTTAGCATAGAACTTACGATCGCATCATTTAGCCATTTCAACGGTAAAATAATGAGACATTGCAGCCAATCTAGTACTGCTCTTAAATTCATAAAGTCTAGAAAACAAAGGTGAAAGTTCGGAACGATTACTATGAAAATATTTTTAGAAAAGGCTCGGGGAATCTACATTACGGCGGTGGGAAAATGACAGAAGCCGAGATACCAGGTCAGGATCGATAATATTGCAGATTCTTTGTATTTTATCAAGAATTTCTAAATACATGCTAGAAACAAGAGATCAGATGTCACAGCAATAGTCAATGAATTAACGAAATGCGTTAGATGCATTCTGTCGATAAAAATTGTCTAACACCACACAGTAAAGAAAGTTTCTTAGCAACAGACTTAGCAATTGATTCAATATAATCTTTCTACTTCATGTCAGTGAAAAACGTTAATTACATTTAAATAGCGATTTCTGTCCAATATGACTTATATTTGACAGTAAATAAGCCAAGAAGAGTTGACAGGTAGCTAAATTAATCAACCTCACCTCATCTATCACGATACACTATATAATCTAATATAAATGGCTCCTTCAGATTTAACTTGACATATACTGTGTGATTTTTTCTTTCTTCTCTCTCTCTATATATTATATATATATATATATATATATATATATATATATATATATATATATTATTAGTATTATTATTATTTTATCGCTTTTTCCAGGTTCGAATTTGTCCCAGTGTAAAATCCGAGAGCACTGACGCCAACACTGATGGCACCGGCAGTTCACTTGTGGCAAAGAGGCGACCGTCAGTCTATCCAAATGCTAACAGGCGACGTTCATCCTTCCAGTTCAAGGCTCTGGCTGTTTCCTCAATGCGACGTCAGAGTATGGCCACCAACAGCGACCTGGACTGCATCCAGAAAGTACGCTACCAGAACACGTACCGGACAGACCCGAACCCCGACACCAAATTCGCCGAGTCAACAGTAAAAAATGCCGTCTATGAATATCTAGCCGAGGAACTGACGAACGTCAAATATGAAGAGAAAGACTGGCGGCTGAAGACGAGAGACCTGGGAGATCAGATCAGAAATCAAGTAAAATCCTTAGGATTTGAGAGATACAAAATTATAGTCGAAGTCCTTATCAATCCACAATGCAAGACAAATGATTTAATATTTGGAAGTCGTCTGCTTAGCGACCCTGAACGAGATCGATCTGTTACTGTTATATTCTCAAATGACTCACTTTCGGCTGTCGTTTGCATCTATGCAATTTATTATGACTGAGCATGCGTGATGGAATATAAGTACGCATGCGTAACAAAATGACTTTTCTTTTTCATCCTTTTCATCGTTTTCGTTTTTTTTTTCTTTTTTCTATTTGCTTTTCGAATAAAAGAATGAATGTATGCATACGTTTGTGTTTGTACGCATGCGCTTGTGCATTCGCTCTCCCAACGATAGTATGCATACATACTGGACCTTTATATATACAGTACCGTGCAAAAGTCATCGGTCACGATAAACTTGCAAATTTCTAATTATTGCCAGCTTATAAGTTTTCGCATACCCGCATCAGATTTTCTATAGATGTACTATTCGCCCTACTGGAGTTATTTCAATGCCTAATTATCATAATTCGTAGCAGGGATTCTGAAGGAGGATGGATAATGCAAGACGACCCAGAAAAATATCCAGGTAGATCATCCCGGTCATCTCATATAAACAGAAAAATATCTTTTTTATTTAATCATTTTACTGTAAGCAAGGCGATAAAACCAGTAATACGCAAGCGTTTACCAAGAGTAAAGGAAACTGAAGAGAGAGGATACTCTAAAATAAGGCAAATGCAGATAAAAGATAGCGATTGACATTTCATTTAAATTTCAGAAGATTGTAGTTGACAAGAAAGTAAGAAACCGGAAGAATTTCACAAACGAAAAATATGAAATATGTAAGAGAATATGGGGAATAGAAATCATTATTAATGAGAGAAAAAAATAAAAGAACATGGATTACTGAAACAGGTGACGATTGGCATTTTGTTTAAATTGTTGGAGATCAAAGTTGACTGGAAGGCAAAAAGCCGTTTTAGTCTCACAACCGAAAAATATGAAAGAAAAAAACTATTAACGTAGAATTTACGGTTACATCCAGTCATTCCGACAGTAAAATGATGAGACTTAGCTTTCAATCTAGTATTACGTTTAAATTCTTGAAGTCGAGGTACCTAATTGGAGGTCATTTTCGAGAGCAGCTGCCAGTTTTACTTTGTGAAACCCATCGGATTTACAATAAAAAAAAAAGATGTAAATAGTTGTGCGATCGGCATGTATACTAAGTTGGGAACTGATGGCATCGGGAAGGTCGTTAATGAAGATAAAAAAAAAGATAGAGCCCTTGGGGGGACCCCCGCATTAATGTGAAATAATTTAGAAACGTGGCCGTTCAAAACGGCATTCATTTAAACACTTTGTTAAGAATGTTTGAATTAAGGGAAATATTCGATGTGATTATGCTACAACCATGCTTCCTTGATAAAACTTAATCTTGCTTTCAAATGTTATTTTCTTAATTGTGTTTTCTTTTAGCTGAAACACATCTCTTTAGCCCATGTTCAATAAAAGGAGGCGCTTAGGGGTATCGTCACCATAAGTCGCACTCATTCATCACTTGTCTTGAAGTCTTTTGACTGAAATTTTGTTGTCCTGATCAGTTTACGTACATTCGATAGCGCAGCTTTCGAGGACGACCACACCTTATTGGTTCAGAAATACTTCCAGAACTCTTGAAACATTTCTGAAATGCCGCTTCTTGAAATTGCCATTTCTTCAGTTCTTGCATGCTGATATTCTTGTTTATCTTAACTATCTTCATCCTGTTTTTTATTGTTTTGTTTTTTATTTTTGTTTTATTTTATTTTTTTTTATTTATTTATTTATTTATTTTTTTTTTTTTTTTTTGGCCGTGAAGTTTTGGCCATGATTTGAAGCAGCGAAAGGTTACAGGTATTCGATGTACGAATTTTCACTATATATAAGAAAAAAATGATGCTGTTGTGAAAAGAATATTTGTACATATTGACGGTTCTACTGAACACCACATTGGCACCGAAAGAGAAAAGCCAAAAAAAATGCCGGTGACCAAAAACCTTTAAACAGCCATTTTATGAGCCACTTCACGTCATCCAACTCTCATTCAGCTCACCCTGTATCATAAAATATTCACTTATAAGCTGGCAACTATTAGAAACATTACAATACTTGAAAGTTTTATCAAACAAGACTGACAAGATTTTTTTATTACATTCTTCTTTCATGTGAACAAATGTTTTCTTTTCTTAATGAGTGTAGAAAATGTCCAAATATTGATTCTGAATGCTCTCCATTGATCTATTAGCCATTTTCTACAGACTATCTACATTAACATTTGCACAACATTTATTAGAGTGGCATAACTAATATTATTATAACTAAAATCTAATGGATTAGACGAAAGTGCTCGTGAGCAACAATTGAACAATTTCTGCAATCATTAAGTTCAGAAAAGACCTTGACAGTCTTACCTAACAACACATATATTAAAGACCGCCTGATGCCCAAATACGTGACTATATATATAGTACCTTGTCTGACGTCTTTAATGAAACATACAGTGCTGTTCGATAAAAGTGACTCACCAGATTTTTTTTTTTACTAAATGTTCTCTTCTCCGATGAAACGAAAGATGAGCTAAATTCAAAGGATAAGCGATCTAAAATCCGAAGAAGAAGCTTTGAAAGCTCTTTGAATTTAGCAGTAAGTACTGTCAAGCATCCGTTTTGTATAATGTTCTGGGGTTGCTTTTCTTTTCATGGTACTGGTTTCTTGAATCTTATTGAAAAGACCCTCAGGAGCGAGCAGTACAAGAGAATTTTTGAGTTTTGTCTGCTCCCTTCTGCTGAAAGGGTGCAAATCGACCCCACCAAGCTCATTTTTATGCAGGATAATGCTCCCTGACACAAATGAAGGAATACTTTGATGAGAAGCAGGTGAGTGTTATGACATGGCCGCCCCAATCTCCTGACCTCAATCCTATAGAAAACTTATGGAGCATTATAATTATATTATTCTTTATTTAAAGCTGTTCGGTTATGTTTCTATTGATTACTAGTTGCAGGAAATAAGTGAGTCACTTTTTTTGCACAGAGTTTTTCCCTAAATATCGTTTATATCCAAAATTATAATTATCAATAGAATACCTTAGGGTGAGTAAACTTTTTTACTAGTGGGTCGGGATGGGGTCTTCATATTAGTAAGATTAAAAATTAGTTTAACCCCAAAAACAATAGGCGAAAAATTAAAAAAATTCGAACAGCACTGTGTGTGTGTGTGTGTGTGTGTGTGTGTGTGTGTGTGTAAGTGTGTGTTTTTATCGAACAGCACTGTGTGTGTGTGTGTGTGTGTGTGTGTGTGTGTGTGTGTGTGTGTTTCATTAAAGACGACAGACAAGGTACTCCAATTAAGCTTTTTAATTTTTCTTGTGTTCGAAAAAATGTTTTCTTTTCTGGACACAGTGTGTGTAAAAACTGTCCAAATGTTCTATAATTCTGAGTGCTTTCGCCTATACTTTTAGCCATTATCAAGGATGATTTTATTTTTGCTTTTTAATTGGGTGTATGAGTTGTGTGTATGTTTCTTGAGTTAAGGGGATGTTTTACTTTCCGAACACAGTTAACATATTGTGGCCGTGTTCGTAGTTAATATTATTAAGTGTTGACTTTTTTCTTTTGTATAATAAAGGCTTCCATTATTTTTTTATCTTTTTTATATGTGGATGAGGTTCATGTGTTTGTATTTTGGAGTCTGGTAAGTTTGTGTCTGTTTAAATGGGTTCTAATAGAGCTCTGGTCAGATAGGTGTAACGTAAGGCGTCTGGATAGGCATGTAGTAGTGTGACCGATGTAATTATTTATGAATTCGGTTTGATCAGAAACACATTTCTTTAAGGGGCAATTGAACTCATTGATAATGTTCGTTCGTTGTAATTTTGATTTTTGATAACAACAAACCAGCAAAATCAGAGCTCTATTAGAATACATTTAAACACACACACATGCGTAGATATACGAGCGTACCAACATACTTTTTTTGTTGGTTTTTTTTTTAGATATGAGCCGGAGTTTTGGCCGATTTTTTGCTTTCAGATACGATCTGAATTTTGAGATACGAGCGAGTTTCGGTTAAGCATCCGTTGTTTGGCGCGGCGAGCACCAAGCTTCGAGAGTATTTCCACTCGCAGTAAACGTGTTCACCTCTGCACTGGAAGGATCTATGTTGTGTTGTCTTGTGTCTTTTTCTCGTTATTTTGCAAATTTCTTTTAGTGACCCAATGGGTCCGAAGTAAGGAAGTGTAAAGAGAAGTGGTGAAAAGCCGAAACGTGTGATTTTGCTTGAGGTAAAGCGGGAAATTATAAAAAAAGATGTACGAGTAATGGATTTGGCGAGACAGTATGAGCGTTCTACATCAACGATAAATAAAAAAAATTATAAGATTTAAAAATAAATGTATTAATTACGGTAAGGGATAAATTGTTAATGTTTTAAACAAATCAAATTTAAATGAAAAACTTAATCTTCGCTATCGTAGACTAGGTTAGCGGTTGCTAGGGTACCTGTTCTCTCTCTCTCTCTCTCTCTCTCTCTCTCTCTCACTCTCTCTCTCTCTATCTATCTATCTATCCTCCACCAGTTGGCGTATGACTCTTCTGAGCTTCATGGCTTAGTACCGTTTATTTCTTAATTTGTTTTTCCTTTTCTATTTTATTGTTTGTAAAGTACATTTCTTGTTTATTCACACATTTTTGTTTGTAAGAAATCCACAAATGCAAAAGTAGGGATGAGTTTTAGGAAAATAAGGGCAATTTTTAGGGGCCTGGAACGGATCGGAAATATTCCAATTAATTCCTACGGGGAAAATTAATTTGAGATTCGAATCTTTTGGGTTACGAGCCATTTACGATATATTTTTTACTTTTGTTTACAAATACTTTTCCTTTTGTCTTTATTCATGTTGTCCTTTTATACGCACACACGCATACATATATATATATATATATATATATATATATATATATATATATATATATATTGTGTGTGTGTGTGCATTTAGGCAGCAGTTTTTCATTGATGAATGTTTCATTAAATAATATAAACAAGTTTTGTCTATTTATTTTAAGCAAATTCTTTTCATATCGTCTGATAAGCTTAATAACATTATCATTGAAAGACGAAAGAAAATCACCATTTTGATACATGTTTTTAATCCAATCTAAGCTTTCGGCTTACATAAGCCATCATAAAAGATAACAATTACTTTACAATAAATTAAACAATACACGGACATAGCAACAATGGCTGTCTGTTTTTGTTTGCATGGAAGATTTCCAAGCAGCCACAAACTCGTGCATACGAGACGCTGGAGGTGAAAATCGCACCGCGGCCAATGCCATCACACATGACCACGCGAGAGTGAAAATGAGAAGTGTTAAGTATGGGAAGCCGTTGTTATAAGCCAATGGCTTTTGTTATCAATTATAGGCATTTAAGTTTATTTGTGGAGTTTTCACACATTTTGCTCAGATTAGGTTTCAACTGTTTTATGTATATAGCTTCAAGAATTTTTAGTTTTTGTTTATTGTCAGAGGAAATGGATTAAATCCGACTACTATTTAATATATTTTCTGTTTATTCATTATTATTTTTTATGGATACACTTATTTGAGTAAATGCTCTGTTATTTAATTAAACAGGATTAATTATGTTTACCGGCCTGAATGTTCGAGAAATTAATGGTGAGTCCCTATAGGATGCAGGTTCGATTCCTGTCGGAGAACGCTTATTTTCTACGAAATTTCTCGAACATTCTGGCCGGTAAATGTAATTAATACTGTTCAATGTAAGAACAGCGTATTTACTCAAATAAGTGTATCCACAAAAATAATGTATAAACAAAATATATATATATATATATATATATATATATAAGGTGTGCTATATTTATGGGATAAAGTGTTCAATATCAGAGACAGAGCGTATGTAAATATAAATATAAAAGTGAACATTGAAGTCAACACTCAGAGGCGTCAGGCTGTTTTATGCTAGACTCAATCGATTGTCGCGTCTGAGTGTTGACTTCTATGTTCACTTTTATATTTACATACGCTCTATCTCTGATATTGAACACTTTATCCCATAAATATAGCACACATTCTTTTTTATAAAAAACGTTCTTTTTTATAGATACAAGTATTTAAGTAAATGCTCAGTTTATAATAAACAGTATTAAATAACATTTACCGGCCTGAATGTCCGAGAAATTTTCATAGAAAATATTCGTCCTTTGACAGGATTCGAACCTGCATCCTATACGGAAACGTCATTTACGCTGACGTGCCTTACCGATCGGTCACAAAGGAGCGTTCGGTAAACAAGGTTGAATTTACTGCTTATAAACTTCAATCTTCCATGAATCTCGTACATTCATAACTGCTCTGGCGTATCAAATGTAAACAAATGACGTCATATATTAAGAAATGGACAAAGTTTATTAAAACATTTTTATGTTTAACGTTCTTTTTATAAATACATTTTAAATGTTTTAAACAGTTCTTTTTACCGGCCTGAATGTCCGAGAAATTTTCAGGCCGGTAAATGTTACTTAATACTGTTTATTATAAACAGAGCATTTACTTAAATATTTATATCTATAAAAAAAGAACGTTAAACATAAAAATGTCTTTTAATAAATAAATTGTCGGACTTTTGTCCATTTCTTATATATATATATATATATATATATATATATATATATATATATATATATATATATATAATCAATTATCTCGCCCGAAGCAAGGCGTTAATGCCACTAAGACGGGTTACCGGTTTGGAGGAGAATGAAAAGACTTTAAGAGAAGGAGCCTGAAATACAAAACAAAAGACGAGAGAGCAGTGTGAATCAGGCGGTAGCTGAATCTCTCTAATATCGTCCTTGCGCCCGATTAAAATTAGTTTGACATATCAGCTGGTGGCTGTTTTAAGTAGCATTGCTCTGTAGCATTTCCTAATATATTGACAAAACGAATGTTTCGTCACTTGCATGTCATAATGACGAGTGAAAGAGGTAGGAATTGAATAAACTCTTAGCCGTAGCTACATTACTACCCAAACAGTAGTAGCAACTAAAAGTAATTAAAGCCTTGTCAACTTTGATAATACCACACACGCACGAACACACATACATGCATACATACAGACACACGGGCACACATATACGCGCTCACACACAGACAGACAAATACACTTTAGTGTGCGTACGAAGAGAGAGAGAGAGAAAGAGAGAATGCCCCCGAGTTATAACGTATGCGAGAGATGATGGCCATATATATCCCCTAAGGATATTGTATCGGTGAAGAGACTACATGAAAATGGATGTGCAGTTGCTTTATACTCACTCCGAGGATTCCCTGCCTTATTTCGCCTTACTACGCGCAGTACTCATTTGATAGAGATATCATATAAATAAGTTTTTTAAAACATAACGACTTTGTGCACTTTTGAAAACAAGGCGAATTTTAATTCTTCATAAATATGCGATGTTCATGACGTGTTAGATTTTGGCTCTCCACGACTCCCTGTCTTTTGTTTCTCGAACTCTTAACCCATATCACTCTTGTTTGTTATTGTGCTAGTAAAACTCATGTAAACTGCTCGCTACTTCTTGTTTCTCTTGCATTCACTATGTCCTGCGAGTGTTATATTCTCCAAGCATTTTTCCTCCTTATGTGTCATTTTAGCTATCTCTTTCTAATTGTTAACAGCGTCTCCTTTGTTAGAACATGTAGAGTTACGTCATTGACCCAGGATTGACCATCGTGTGTCAATAAAAAAAAAATAAAAAAATTCTTATTACTGTTATTTAAAAAAAAAAGCAAGACGCAGATATTAAATGACACTATTAATACAACCCACAACAGGAGGTATGTAACTTACGTCAGAACTCAGTTAGAATTCGTAGTATATATATATATATATATATATATATATATATAGGGATGCATCAATAATAATTATACAAACGTTGAGGGCAGGTTCCTCACACCAAAACAAAAGTCTATATTAACATATGTCCTCAAATCCTTCGTTTTTCACCTTTTTTTTTTCACTATTCAGTTTAAAGAAAGTGTATGGTAAATGGTGCTGTGCTGCCACGTAGACTAGGTTACATTTGTTATTCGTGTACCTATGTGGCCAGAATGTCTTCAAAGTTTAACCTGTGTAGTATTGAGTTAACTGGCAAGTATTCCGTTGAACAATGACAGGATATTCATATCGTGAGCAGGCAAATATGATTTTTACACATGGGCACGCGAATGTTAATGGACGCGAAGCTGCACGGCTGTTTAAAACCGAAGGCAGTCGAGTCATTCAACCTTTGCTGCTGTTTATTGTCGCGTTGCTGAGACAGGATCTGTGGTACCACAAATTATGTATTGAGGAAGACCGAGATCCTCCCATACGCCTGACCACAAAGAACACATTCTACAGGCTGTCGTAGATGATCCAGATATCAGCACACGTCAAGTGGGCCAAGAATGTCGTACATCTCATAGTACCGCATCGAGAGCACTTCAAGAGCAGCTCCTGTATCCGCATCATTTGCAACGTGTGAAGGATCTTTCCACGTCTGATCACTCATCACGGGAGAACTTTTGCCGATGGTTTATTGCCGATCTGTTGTTTGTCTCTTCAGTCTTGTTTACGGAGGAGGAAGCATTTGGAAAAGATGGAATAACAAATTAACAAAAACAACATTTGTGAGCTGATGGGAATCCCTGTGGTAGTATACAGGCTAGACCTGCATCAGTTTACGATTAATGTGAGGGCTGGAATTGTAGGTGACTGTCTGATAGGTCCATATGTTCTCCCAGCATGTCTTACAGGAACTGTCTATAGGGAATATATTTTTGACACACTTCCAGACCTGCTAAAGGATGTACACCTACTAATCCGAAGACTCATGTTGTTCATGCATGATCGGACTCCAGCACATTTTTAGTCACATTTTTCGCGATCCACTGGCTAACATCTACCATGAAAGATGGTTAGGTAGTTCCCGACCTCAATGCATTGCATTTTTATCTGTGGGGCCACCTAAAACAATTGGTTTATGCAACAGACATTAATAATGCATTGACGCTTCAGCAACGTGTCATGGGTTTCTTTGATACCATTGGACATCGTGTTGGACTATTTGAAGGGCTCCGCCAGTCAATGATCCGACGGGTGTATGTGTGTGTAGAAGCAAGCGGAGGCTATTTTGAACATTTCTTATAAGTTGCTGTGATGAGATACATCGAGGGCCTTTTGAACATATGTTTATATGGATATTTTACCTTGATTTGGTGTGAGGAACCCGCCTTCAAAGTTTGTAAAAGTATTTTTTGATACACTCTCTCTCTCTTTCTCTCTCTCTCTCTCTATATATATATATATATATATATATATATATATATATATATATATACTACGAATTCTAACTTAGTTCTGACGTAATTTGCATACCTCCTGTTGTGAGCTATTTTAAGAGTGTCATTTAATATCTGCGTCTTGATCAAAAGCTAGATTAAAATTTTAGCTAGCTTAAAATGTTAAGCTACCTGCAATTTTGGATACAAGGAAAATAAGAGTTACTTCCCTTG